ATATATATATATATGCAAATAAATAATTGTTGGCTTCAAACTGCTCTTCGTGTGTTCATTTCACAACTATTCTATCCCCTCGCCTGCTGCAGCAGCAGCAGCATTTGCTGCTGCTGCAGGTGCAGCAGCAGCTGCAGCTATTGCTGCTGCTGCAGCCACTGCTGTTGCTGCAGCAGTTGTAGTTGCAGCAGTTGCTGCTGCTGCTGCTGTTGCTACCGCTGGAGCTGCTGCTTGAGCACATCATCAGAGTTCTGCGTTTGCAGCAGAATTATTTCTTTTTTGCATCTCCTTTTTTCGCGTCAGCAGCAGCAGCAGCAGCAGCAGCTGCTGCTGCTGCTGCATTCGCTTGCTTCGCACACTCCTCCAGCAGTATAGTCCTAGCAACTGAGACCCGCTTCTGTAGATAGGGGGAGCCAGCGAAGCCCTCAGCTGGGGCGTTGAGCTGATGCAGCCGCTCGAAACGCTTTATGATATCTTCGCGGCTCGTGCTGCTGCCACTGACACCCAAAATTCTTCTGGCTTCATCTACCGTCATCCGGGGCCGCAGCGTCAACGCAGCAGCAGCACCAGAACGGCCGCCGCCCCCGCTCCCCGCTGCTGCAGCAGCACCCTGGCGCGCTGCATCCTTGTAAGCCTGAAAAAACAATACATTCAATATATCATACACAAACTATCGATATGCTTAGAATGACAAACACAGAAAAAAACACAAAAATACAACACAAGGAAACGCATGCACGGCAACCTTCTCGTGTTATCTTAGTATTATGTTCTGCTGATGCAGCTGCAGCAGAAACAGCAACAGCTGCAGATACAGCAGCAGCNTTATCTTAGTATTATGTTCTGCTGATGCAGCTGCAGCAGAAACAGCAACAGCTGCAGATACAGCAGCAGCAGCAGCAGCAGCTCAAACGACAGCCACTGCAACAGCAGCAGCAGCTGCATCAGCTCTAATATACCTGCAGCACCGCTCGGCCTAGAGAGGCCCCCGCGACTGCGACGAACTGCACAACAATTCGTCCTAAGGGGCCAATCGCCATTGCCCAGCAGAAGAATTAACAGAGAAAGCGGCCGCCGCGCGGTGCTCGCATTCCTGTTGTTCAGAAACGCCGCTGAGGAGAGGTTGCAGGGGGGGGCGAAAGCAGACGAAAAAAAAAGCTTACGCGATATTCTTTTGAATGAAATGTATTAAAATTATATGATAATTACAGTATAATAATTAATTTTTATCTGGAAAGGGCGGAAGTATGAAGATCGCGGTGGTTGAGCCACCGACAGACACAGAAGAACAGACGAAATGAAGCGGCAAGATGGCGGCGGTGGCTGCGTCTGAACCGTTGATTTGACCCTTATTTTTAATTTCAAAGGAAAACAAAAGAAATAATACGAAATTAAAATAAAAAAAGGAACAAATTCAAGAAAAGAAGAACAGGAAATGCAGCAACGTCCCCGTGAATTCGCTTCTGTTGTACGCCGACGAGGCGACTGCAGCAGTTTAAGGAGAAATACAAGTAAAAGGAGGAATATAAAGAGAGAAATAAAGTATTTGAATTGATTTAAATATTTAATTTATGCATGCAGATATGCACAGAAACAAA